TGGATCAGAGGTTGTGCTCTATATGAAATATTGAAAAAATGTTTTAACTTTAGGTCATTTTCAAAGGAATTTACAGGATATGAGGAAAATGACGCATTTTATGACGTCATAATGCATTGACTAGATGGGAAATTACGTCACAATTAATAGATACGTGGTCACCAACACTCCAAGAGATAAATACTGCATTTGCAACCCAAACTGAGCGGTTTTGATTTTTCAGAAATTCTCAGGGCCAAATAAGGCCCAACCTGGCTCTTGCTCTTTACAATAACAACTTTTTTTTTTAGCTCTGACAGAATGGGGTTATTATCTGATTACCTGTTCAAAATTAAAAACATTAAGGCAGCAAAAAAAAAAAAAAAATACCGTGGTAATTAACAAAATAAAATAGTAATAAAAAAGAAATGATATCTTAATATATATCTTGGAATTCAATAAAATTATCATAAATCATTGTGTACAGTATTTTAACCAAAATAAAATGAACATTATTTTAAATCCATATATCAGAGACTGTATACATCATTCAAAATTGACCTTAACTTCAAAACAAAGTTCATTTGCAGACAGAGGCGGTACAGTTATTAATCTCAATGTGACAGATAAAAATAGTGCTTAGGATTTTCTTCATGTGGAAGGTTGATTAATCCCAAAGGATTGCACAGCCTTCCCAGTTTACAATGGTAACATTCTCAGCAGTTATCTCTCTTTGCCCATTCATTCTTATGCATAGTAAGGAATCTACCCCACCACCCCAGCTCCAAACCAGAAGACACAGAGAACCAAACTTAGCATCAAAATATGTATTTCTGCCTACTGAACTATCATACCAAATTTGAACTTGATTGGGCAAGCATAAAAAAAGTTATTAGAAAAAAACATAAAATTTGTGGACGGAAGAATGACAGACGGACAGACAGAGTGATTACTATAGGGCACCCGCAAATCCTTGCGGGGCCCTAATAAATCAAATAAAATGAAAAAGCAAACAAAATCCATCATTTTCTTAATTTACTCAGGTGAGTTTGATTAGGTTACTGTCTTTAAGTAATTTTTGAAAAAAGGAACAAAACTTCAATTTTTTAGAAAAGTTTAATGAAGTCATGCCATTATTCCATCCAATTTTGTTTGGGTAGAAGGGAATGGATTTCCTGCTGCAGCTAGATTCTCCCAAATATTGAATAATGTCAAGGTCATGTAGCAGTTGTGAGGCAGCATATGAGGGTAGTGCAGCAGAAAGAGGATACCCACTAGATGCCATCCAGCCTTCCAAAGAAAAATCTGAAATAAAACATTACTTTCAGTTTCATAAGATACAAAGATAACAAACTAAAGGCATTGTGAATGAGCTCATAAAATATAACCTCACTCAGTCAATCTTTACTTTTTCTGCCATAACTATAAACTTGCTGGAATAACCTTGAATCAAGATTAATTCATGTTTACAAGATTTAGGCAATTTTTCAATCAAATGACCTTAGAATAATGTCGACACACCTTATTTTATATGCATTATTTGTACAAGGTATTAACTTCCACTATTTTTCAGTTAAAAAGTTAAAGATTAGACACATTTAATACTTAGTGACCTTGAACTTGATGAAATGACCTTGGGTCAATATATTATATAATATTGTTTGTGACAAGCATGAGCTTCCATTTAGCATTCAGACCATAGCTATCTTATTTGTGTGAAAATTCAATTTTTTTTTCAGCAGTGAGAATGAATAAAATGTCTGTGCAATAATTGAGAGAGAGAGAGAGAGAGAGAGAGAGAGAGAGAGAGAGAGAGAGAGAGAGAGAGAATACGGAGGTGAGGAGTGAGCTAATATGCAAGAACAAAAAAGCTAGAGACCAAGAATAACAAACAAGTACAATCCATCAAGTAAAAGTATTTTACTTGTACTTCACTCTTATACATGTATTGACTTTTGCTCCCTTCTGTTGCTTTGCTCTCTAACAATGAATCCTGTGTATTTTCACTTTATATTAAATAAATTTACTTTTCCAAGGTAAAAAGTTTTATCATCAGTACTAGGTCATTTTAACAGTGGTTGAAGAAGTCAATTTACATGTCTAAGGTTAAAACTTACCACTAATAACAAAGCCTCTAGTCCAGTTGCAAAAAGGTTTATGGAGTTTGTGTTCGTTAAAGACCTGAAAAACTTTCTCACAGGCTTTATGGGATTCAAAACATATACTTAGGTTCAGAGTTACCCCAAAGAATGTTTCCAGGTCTGTTATAATGTAACTGAAATGATCAAAATACAATACTAATTGGCAATGCTTGAACATTCTGTAAGAAAATTTTGTAAGAGAATTTTTCATAATTTTTATAATTCATACCAGACCATGATTAATGCATGTACATGAAAAACAAATATGTCATTGCTATGTTAAATACAGTGGTAATATTTAAACACAAATTTTCCAAAATGTTTTTCATTATTTAACTAAATAAAATAAAATTTTCAATAAAAGTTCAGAACTGACAACTAAAACAAGAGGCCCATGGGCCACATCGCTCACCTGAGAAGCTTTCACCATTCTGTTCTTTACCAGATTTCCCCCTTGTAATACATACTGTGACCCCCCCCCCCCCCCCACTCTACTCCACTGATCATAACTTAGACAATTGAGAATCTACACTACCCCAGGATGCTTCAACATAAGTTTCAGCTTTTCTGGCCCAGTGGTTCTTGAGAAGAAGATTTTCAAAGATTTTTCTAATATATTTCTATGTAAAACTTTGATTCCCTATCGTGGCCCCGCCCTTTCCCCGGGGGTCATGATTTGTTCAATTTAGAGTCTACACTATCCCAGGATGCTTCCACATAAGTTCCAGCTTTTCTGGCCCAGTGGTTCTTGAGAAGAAGATTTTCAAAACATTTTTCCTACATATTTCTATGTAAAACTTTGATTCCCCATTTTGGCCCCGCCCTTTCCCCGGGAGTCATGATTTGAACAATTTAGAATCTAAACTACCCCAGGATGCTTCCACATAAGTTTCAGCTTTTCTGGTCCAGTGGTTCTTGAGAAGAAGATTTTTAAAGATTTTTCCTATAAATTTCTATGTAAAACTTTGATTCCCCATTGTGGCCCTGCCCTTCCCCAGGGGGTCATGATTTGTACAATTTAGAATCTAAATTACCCCAGGATGTTTCCACATAGGTTTCAGCATTTCTGGCCCAGTGGTTCTTGAGAAGAAGATTTTTTAATGATCCCACCCTATTTTTGACTTTTCTTGATTATCTCCCCTTGTGAGGGGACTTGGCCCTTCATTTTAACAATTTAAATTCCCCTTCACCCAAGGATGCTTTGTACCAAGTTTGGTCAAAATTTACCCAGTGGTTCTTGAGAAGAAGTCGAAAATGTGAAAAGTTTACAGACGGTCGGACAGACAGACGGACAGACGGAAGGACGGACGACGGACAAAATGTGATCAGAAAAGCTCACTTGAGCCTTCGGCTCTGGTGAGCTAAAAAAGAATTGCTGCTAGAAACAGGGTAACTTACTCTAAGTTGACCATTCCCATCAAAGAAACATGTTTAACTTCTCCAAACTTGTACCCCAGCAGTTTATCAGTCCAATGGTACTTTTCTAACCCTACTGAGACCTTGCCATCACATGCATCTATATTGACAGAAGCCTCTAAGTTCTCCCCCAGAATATCAGAATGCATACAGCATTTAATGTCAGCACAGGAAGCAGAAACAGCACATCGTATGTTGGGACCAAGGGAAGGAAGGTTCTCTGTTGTCCTGTCACAATCTACAAGGAAAAAGTCATGTTATCTTTTTTTACCTTTATATATTCTTAATAAACCTCTATCAAATGTAGTGACATGATATTCATGTACCATCTGCCCATCCTTTACTGCTGGCAGTACTGTATGGAGGTTTGGTCCAGTCACATCTCTGATTATCATCCAGCAAGAGATGTGATACCCCCAGGTCCTGGAGAAGCTGTTTGACATGAGGAACATCTAGAGAGACCCCTGGAGATATACCATGGAGGGATTTCCAGGTGGACAAGGAGAAAGCTGTAAACACAAGCAAAAAGTAATTAAAAAAAGAAGGTCAGTTTGGGCTTTATTGTGTCCTAATAAAAGTTAATGTTCTTAAAAAGTTATGAAATTGGCTTTAACAGGAGTTGAGTAGATGAATATGATAAATCATTAAAGAATATGGCATGAAGTAGGACTGTTCTGGAAATATGATGTTATTAAATTGGTACATTTGTAAGTTTAATGCAGAAAAGCCTCAGAGTGTCCCACTTCTGTGCTTATTTTCCTTTAGAAAATAGTGTCTGACACAGTTCAATTTTTTGATATATTATGTAAACTGCTTTGAAAAATCACATCTCAAAATCTTTGTGGGCGACGGTGGCAGAGTATGTTTTCTGAAAGAATTTCCACTGAAAATGATGTCTTCTGCAACTTTTAAAGCAAGATGGCGCTCGTGAGGTAAGAGGTGTTTTTTCGGTGAGCGCGAGTTTGGAGATATTTAGTGAATTAATGACTATTGTGACTAAGGATTTCCTAACAGTGTGCTAAAATAACTTCAGAGGAACCTTTACACTGTGAAAAAAAAATATTTGAAACGATCTATCTGTGTTTTTTAAAGAAAGGAGATTCTACACAGTCGTGAGTACTGTTTACTACGATCTTTAAACACCTCGATTTGTTCGTGCTGTTTTCCCTTGTGAAAGACTTTGTTGACGCTACATCCAAATAAAAACAAAAACATGCCTGGTACTAAGAAAGGGTCAGAAAAAAGTAAATCTGAAAGAAATGAAACGGTTGAAACAACAGATGACTTGACAATAGGGTCATTAAAAGCTGATCTACTTGAAATTAAAGAATGCTTGCAACAAACGGTAAAAACGTGCGATTTAGAATCAATGGTGACTAATATAGTGAAGGGACTTCTGAAGATTCATGAAGCAAATGCAGAAAAAAGAGAAACGCTGTTAAATAAAAGAATCGATAACCTGACAAAAGACGTCGATAGATTAACAATGGAAAACGAAACTCTAAAAGAAAAACTGTCGGAAACTAACAAAAACAATAGAGAACTGAAAAAGGAAATGGATCAGCTGAACGATCTTGCTACTTTTGCCACAAGCGCAAGGAATTATAACTAACAATACAGCAGAAAAAACAATATT